AAATTGCAGAGAATTTCAAGAAGTTGAAGTTTCTACTTACATCTGGCTTGGAATGCTGAAATATCTTCAGGGGAAATTTTAAGTCTCCTTTAGCTAACGTTACTAAGTATTCTTTCAATAGCTCATTAGCAGCACCAGGAGATTGTTTCTCACAACGATGAAGAAAGGGAACCATCCATTGGTAGGCACTTGTTACGTATTTGTCTTCAGAACACTGAAAGTATAATTGACCAAAACAAACAAGCATGAAATGAAATTTCTTACTGCACCAGAGAAGTTCTAACTTACAGATTATCTGAGTGATGTTAAAGAGTTTTGAACGCCCAAGACTCTATTAAAACACTTCAGTTCCCACTCACAGGTGGATTGGTATCAAGCAGGAGAATGCTCACCACTCCTAAGGCTCCAGAGCTAGCCACAGCACTGTCCCTGGTCGCCATCTCTTCAGACCTTAATCAATCTCTTTGGGGCCCCAAAGAGCTAAAACCTGGCTCAGGGAGACAAAGCAGCTGCAGCTACCTCACTCATGAGGTCCTCCAGAGCAAAGAGAAGTCCTAGTCCCACTCAAAAAGAGAGAGAGAGAATATCAAAGCAGGAGGGAGAGACCTTAGAACAACAGAAAGAGTGAAACAAAATAAAGGGACATAGATAAACAAAGAAGCCCTAGAAAAAGAGCCAGTGGAGAATCCTCATCTGTAACTGCCCAGAATCTCCCCTCACCTTTTCCTTGTTTCATTGTGCTCCTTCACATCTTCACAAAACTCCAAATGACAGAGATAAATTTACCCTCCAGTATTTTAAGAGGAGTAGCACATAAAACACAAAGCAATGTTCACTGGATGGGTTACCAGGAAAAGAAAATAATGAGAAAAAGAGAAGGTAGGAATAAAGGGAAAGAAGGAAAGATGAAAAGGTGATGAGAGGGAAAGAAAATGCAAGAGAGGGAGCTTAGGAGGGAGAAATAGAAAAGCGTCAAGAGGAAAGCAAATCCCCCAGGCAGCTGCAACGCACTCTCCTCCAGCCTGCTCAACCAACTGCCAAGACCAAAAGATGAGTGCTCCACAATTACCACCCTGGCACCATCATTCCTGCCTGTCTACTCACCGGGCAGAGTAGAAACCGAGTCCTAACTCTGAGAATAAAGTACATGACGACCTAAGAACAACCTAAGAATGCTGGGAAAATTCCCCTACACGTACTAACCCTGAAGCCAAGATGTCTTCTTCACACAGCCACCCAGCCCTCTGAACTCTGCTACTTTTTTTTTTTCTTTAACATCCTTGAAATATATATGTAACAGGGGATTTTAACATAGTGAGAGATTAGAAATGGCACTATCTGAAGGACAACTACTTTAGAAATGTGCCTAACTAGAAGAAGGAAGGAAAAAAGGAAGGAAGGAAAGAAAAAAAGACAGACAGACAGACAGACAGGCAGAAAGAAAGAAAGAGAACCTGTAATACAGATGAGTCTGAATAAAGAAGAAAAAAAAAAAGGAAAGATTAGAAATGGCACTATCTGAAGGACAACTACTTTAGAAATGTGCCTAACTAGAAGAAGGAAGGAAAAAAGGAAGGAAGGAAAGAAAAAAAGAAAGACAGACAGAAAGACAGACAGACAGACAGACAGGCAGGCAGAAAGAAAGAAAGAATAAGAACCTGTAATACAGATGAGTCTGAATAAAGAAGAAAAAAAAAAGGAAAGAAAAGAAAAAAAAGCCAAAATAGTTTTGTACGCCTTCAGTAATTTATCCACAACATTTCAGTTTAGCCAAAAGTAAAGAAACGACACGAAGTCCTCAAATGGAGGATAGTGCCTCTTTGGTTTGAGACATGCATTAATCAAAATACACAGGGAATATTTAAAAAGAAAGTTATAATAAACCCACACTCTTCATCAGTAGTCTCAGTTTTTCAATATCTTTCATCTGCTGGAGTTCTTTCAAGGTTAAAGTTAAGTCACAACCGGCTTCATAAACCAATGTTTCCAGAGTAACCAAATTATCACACAGAACCAGCAAGCCAGGAATACTCCGCTCCATTCCAAGCCGGATGAGTGACAACGCACAATCGACCTGAAATTGAAAAGCGATAGTAAGTCCCTGAGCATTATGTATTTCTTCTGTTTTCTAACGTAAAAACCCACAGTACAGAATCGAATATTAGGATTACTTTGTATAAACTGCATTACTGGCAATATATGGCTTTTGTTTACTACAAAAGCATTAGTGTTCTTTGTCAATTGCATCAGCATTGAAGTGTTTCAAAGGAATCAACCAGCAAGAAATACTGACGATAAAGACCTAAGTGGAAGACCTCTTACGTTTGTAGAGCATTACAGTTTCCAGCACAGTTTTACATATATTTCTCTATTTGATTCTCAAATTAAACTAAAAGGCAGAGGGAAAAAATCATAGCTATTAGTGATATGCCAAATTAATCTTATTTTCACTATACCACTCTGATTGCAAAAGGAATGTCTATTTCCAAGGCTCCCACTTGTACATTCCTATTCAGTACCTAACTTCTCCTACATAGAAGTCACACAATAAATATTTCCTGAGAAACTAGCTCTAGTACAAAAACTTGGCCTCCCCCCTGGGGGGTGACTTCTCGCTTTCTGTCTGTCTGTCTGGCATGCGCACGTGCCCTATAGCAAAAACCTCTCAAAAAAAAAAAAAAACTTGATCTCAATTCATATACTTACCCTTCACCAGACAGAAACGAAAAATGATTTCCAATAAATGCTCAGTCAACAGCCATTTGACCCCTATATGTCAGTCAAATGACATGCTCTGATTGATAGAGAAATCAACTATTGTGACCCAAACCCATAATCTCTCACCTACTTTTTACTCTGTGTAGCTAGATATTTAAATAATTACTTTAAATAATTTAGATAGTAAAATAATTACTTAATGAGGGTCTACTTTGAGCTAGGCATCACTCTAGGTATTAGCAATACACACGGAAAGATTCGGTCTCCTGCAAAGATCCCTCGGTCTACATGGGAATGACAATCCAGGAGGTGGGTGGCTGAAGTGCAGCGGAATGGCTGTGTGTGTGTGACTGGGATCTCAGAGAAGACAGCACCAGCCAATCCACAGTATCCCAGAGTTGCCTGGAGGAAACACCTACCGTGAACTTTGAGGACTCAGAGGATGTGAGTTCAGTGAAGGAGGAAGCTGAAGGGAAGGAGAACGGCAGGGAAGGCAAAGATGCAGTGTGTCGTGAAAGCACAACTAGTTCCACGTGACTGGACAGAAGGTGTACAGTGAAGGGATGACCAAGATGGCGTGAACAGTAAGGAGGAACCACATAAGGAAGATATTGTTAGCCACATGGAGGAACGTGCAGTCCTCCTGGAATATACTACTACGAAAGGATTTTTGACAAAACATCCCATAAATAGATTTACACATCAGAAAATCCATTCGGTAAACATTTACGAAATGATGAATGAAATGCAAATGATAAACTGGAAATGGACTAGAATGAAAATAAGTAGATGAGTCAGGAGAACTACAGTTACTAGTTTTAGAGGAATTCTAACCAAATATACTGACTTGCCCATTCATTCACCAAGTAGTATTCCCATTTATTCACATTGAGTAAATACTTCCTAAATGCTTCCTATGTACTTGGCAAAACAAATAACAAGGAGCTAAACTATGGCAGTGAGACTGAAGACATATGGAATGTGTATATAACAGATAATTCAAGAGACAGAATTCACAAAATCTCGTCAAATCAGATTAAGAATATGAGTAAGGATGTGTCTAGAATGACGACTTGAGTTTAGCACTCCTTACATGCCTTCCCCCTTTTCTCTCCCATGAAAGGAATAATACATAAAATAAAAGTAAAATCGTTAGTGGCCAGCATGATGATTATGGCACTGGAATCCCACATAGCTGACCGCAATTCGAGTCCCAGCCCTGGTGGCTTGCTTTCTTGCTTTCTCATTCTCTCTCTCTCTCTCTCTTTCTGTCTGTCTATCCCTGGTGAGTGCACAAGCCCTTAGCAATTTTTTTTTCAAAAATAATGATAAATAAAATTAAATAAATTATCTTTTTAAAAAATGGAGAAAATGACTAGGAGAGACAGAAAAACTTTGTGAGCTAAACTGTGATGGAAACAAGAAACTCAAACAAAAGCCAGGGAGAGAACAGCTCTGATTTTTTTTTTTTTTTTGTATTTATAAAATAGAATGGACTTAAATTTTATTTCCAAAAAAGGAGGAAAGGCAATCAATGTAATAAAGAAAAAGAGCCTAAAGATAAGGACAGCGAAAATGGCTGATAAGGTGACCTCAGCAGGTGAGAATGTCGATCCAGAACACAGGTAAAGGAACAGAACAGCCTTGAACATGAAGAGAGACCTCTCCCTCTGGGGAAAGCTGGGAAGAATAAGTACAAAGGGAAGGGCATTCTTAAGTTTTCAAATGAAATTCAAAGCAAAATCCTTTTCTGAGAATGATAAGGAGAGAGGTGGGGTACAAGGAATAGCAGGGGAGAAGAGGGAACAGCCATATAATGCAAAGAAAAATGCCAGCTGCTAACAAAACCCACTCAGAGCCTTTCAAAGACCTAGGAATTTACAGGTGAAGATAAAGCAAAAGAAACAAGAATGCATTTTTTTGGCTGGAAGGGTGGAGGGGATAAATCTGAGGAGGGAAAAGTACTGACAAGAAAAGCATGAGGCAAACAGGAGGGATTTGGTAATGCTTCAACAGATAAACGTTTTTAACTGAATGCTTAAGAGTAAAAAGAGAATTCACGTCTGAAAGGATACATATCTACCTACAGACCTATCTAAAAAAGAAAAAGAAAATAAAAATTGTCTCATGTGAATTTTCAGAATTAGGAAAACTTCATGCATAAAATGCAGCAAGTAGTAGTTTGAACACTGCACATTACTAATCTGTTAATACACCCACCAATTCATGATCCAAATTCTTGCTAATATCAATTTTGAATTTGTTGCCTTCCAAATACTTACTAAAGTAAAAATGTTTTAAAAATCAAAAATCAAAAACATCTTGTACACTGTAAAGATGTACAATGATTAGAAGTGAATCTTTAAAAATAAAAAAAATAAATTTTATAAAAGGATAAAGTACACTTAATAGAATTTCAAAAAAAAAAAAAAAAAGATTACTCTCACTTTAAATGAAAACAGGCTCTAATGCAACTTAGAAACTTATACTGTATACCCAAGCCCTCACCAGATAAAATTCCGCACTATAAAGCATTTTCCTAAACCAACAAACACATTGTGCTGAAGGCATTTATAGACGCTAAGGAAAAAGAAGTCCCACATCAATTAAACCTCTAAAAATGAAAAAGATAAAACTATGTCAGATATCACTTTGATTGTAGCATAAGCCACATGAAATGTCAATAAACACAAAGCTAAAATGAAACCCAAAAACTTCTATTGTGTTTTTCAATTAATGAATGCAATGTAAAAACAAAAGCCAACTGATGCACCCCCAAATTATTTTTCTTTCCTTATAATTATCCCCAATATTACAAGAAGAATTCAAAAGATCTAAGAATTATTGCTAGACTATTAAAAAAATTGAAATTTCAGAAAGCTTTGTAGTTGTTCGTAAACTTTATTTTTTATTTTTTTAATTTTTCCCCCTATTATGGCACATGTACTCACCAGGGACACTGAGAGAGGCAGAGAGACAGAAAGTGAGAAATCATCCCCTGGGGGGATGGCCATGCTGCAATCCTTCCTCCTCCATTTTCCTCCCGAGATTTTAGTCATGCACACCCATGTACCCGGCATGAGTTTTAAGCTGCCAGGTCCAGGACTTGAATCGCAGTCAACTATATGGGAGTCCACATAACCATTAATCCACCTGCTGGTCCCTTATAGCAGTTTTAGGTTTATAACAGAATTGGGCAGAAAGTACAAAGAGTTCCCATAAATCTCCCTGTGTCCTTCAAGACACACACACACACACAAAACCTACCCCACAACTTACATCCCCCACCAGAGTGGACATTTGTCACCCGTGATGAACGTGCTCGACGCGCACTCCAAGTCCACGTTTTCCATTGGGCTGCCTTCTAGGTGATGCTGAGCCCTGGGTCGGCCTGACCCCTGCCTACCTTCCAAATGTCCTGAAAACTAGTTTCAGCCATCAGAGTCAAGATCTTAATGTCACCAACCCTTTACGCATTCCTCTTTGTGTACTTTAATTTACACCGAATTTTCCTATAACGCAGCTACTACATAAATTCAGGAAAGATTTTACTCTATCTTGTTAAAAATTTTATCATGAGTTAGTTGTTCACGTCACCGGCAACAATTTGTGGCATTTAACTCAACAGTACACCAACCCTAAATCTGTGTGCAATTTTGGATTACATATTCAAAGGGATTTCTCACTGACTTTATTGTCTAGTATTGTCATGACCAAGCATTTACGTATTTTATGTATCCTATTGTAGTTAAGTCATTATATTAACTTTCTGGAAATTGTTGTGTAGATAAAATATGATATTTACAATTTTCATGTCAGCATGAGAAGGAAACATTATAAAATACTTGCTATGAAGAAAGATACTATGGTCTAAGAAGAGCTCCTTTTTCAAAGATTTGTGCATCTCGTTCTCAATCATTAAGATTTGTGTAGCTGATCAGTTTATATGAACTCTATAAGAAAGATCACACAGAGGCCTGCATTTTGTCTGGTTCTGCCAGTGTGCGTCCCTGGACAAGTTGCTCACTTTCTTTCCTGTGGACCTTGGGTTATCTATCTGTAAAACATAGAATTAGATTAGAATATCTCCAAAGATTCTTTTCATTGTGTAGAGTAAGGTCCTAAACATTTCCATATGGCCCTTAGCCAGCTTCAAAGACTTGAAAAATCCATCATATATATTCATGGCCATCACCCAAGAAGTTCAGGCTAGAATATTCACATCAGCTCCAGCAAATAATTCATCTTTAGTTCTATGAATTCTATAAATAGAAATTAGATTAAGCTGGAATTCAAAAAGGCTATTATGGGGAAACCCAGGGCCGTGCCCAGTACACTGCGCAGAAATTTAAACAAAGCAGTTGGTACTACTCCCGCAGAACTGCTGCTCGCCAGGCCCGCAGGAACCCATCTTCCTGGAGAAGGAAAGAGAGAAGAGTGATATGAGGACAGGCGGGCCAAAGCCAAGGCGGCGAGTAAAAACCAAAGGCCCTGCACTGGCCAGAGCTAGGACAGAAAGTCACAGAGCATTCTGTCCCTGTGCTGTGAATGAGCAATCTCTGTTCTTTAAGATGCAGACAGTTGCTTACATTTACACCACACTGAGTTGGCAGTTCTTAACGCTCCCTCACAAGTACTACAGGAACTAATAACCCTAGCAGAAAACTAAGGTAGTGAAACATGAGCGGTCTAGTTCTAAGGTCCAATAGTCAGAGTCAACCTTACAATTGAGAAACCAGAGGTCAGTACAGTCCTTGTCGCTCTCTCCCACACACACATCCCCTCTCTGATGCAGCTGTTTTGCATCTTGGCAAGGGATGTAAGAACAGGGAGAAACAAGGCATGGACTTAAGGGAAACATGACCAACAGCTTCGAATGACAAATTCACAGTCAGCTGCATTACTGCAATGGAACACAGGACTAATCAGCCATTTCTATGTTGACACAATCTTTTCAATTAATATGCTACTGAGCCTCTTAAAAATGGAGAAAATTGGGGTCAGCAGGTGGCATGGTGGATAAGGGCACTGGACTCCCATATGTCTGACCCTGGTTTGAGTCATGGACCAGTCATCTTGCTTTCTCGCTTTCTTTCTCTCTCTCTCTCTCTCCCTCTCTCCCTCTCTCTCTCTCTCTCTCTCTCTCTCTCTTTTCTCCCTCCTTCCCTCCCTCCCTCCTCCCCCGGTCAAATTTAAATAAATAAAGATAAATAAAATAATTCTTTTAAAAAATAGAGCAAATCAGGGACAGTATATTTTGCAGCTTACATTTGAAACAAAGATTTTGGACAACTTGTCTTAGTATGCATTTGCTCTGTAAAAATTCCAAACAAAAAACACCAAAAGCATCAGAGAGAAGATAAGTGAACAAACATAATAAGAAATGTTTATTTCCCCCTTTACCAATTATATCCGTGATTCCTGGCCTGACCAGGGCACCAGCTGCACGGACTGAATGCTCAGACCACACCAGCCCTGCTATCCCGGCTGAGCGCGGCCGGTGTCTCCTCACCTGTCGCGCGTAATGCTCTATTTCCTCTGCTCTGGTCCGGTACCAGTCCATGGCCTCCTCCACTGCAAGCTGGGCTGACCTGTACCTCAGCAACTCGGGCTGTGCAGCATACAAGAACTCACTTTCGTCTTGGAGACTCGGCTCAACGACCATTCTGCAAAGCACAAAAGGTACAATGAACAACTAACAAGTGTGCTGGGAAAACACACAATTTTGTGAAAGACAGAAACAGATGAGGAGAGAACAGGTTGTAGCGACACACCATGGGTGTGCGAGTGTGTGTGTGTTCTTGTATGTGTGTGCACACTTACAAGACAAATGAGACATTTTTAGGATGCTTCATTTATTTTCCCACTGGCTTTCCCAATTTCAAAAATCAGAATGGATAATAAAACAACTATGCCACGAATCAATCAACTAAGTATTAACAAAATCGAAATCACCCTGGGAAGCTTCACACAGTGCACACCGCTGGGTGGCTACCGCAGGCCTGCTAAATCAAAACCACCCGTGACAGCCAGGCAGGCCTCGTTTAGGAAACACCCCCAAGTGATTCCAATTTGAATCTGGAGTTTAAAATCCTTGCCTTGAACATTAATGAAAATAAGAGGAAATATACCTTATTTATTTGATGACAAGACCCCACAGAGGGCCAGAAACACAGGACTGTCCCGCCATGTACACAGCACGGACCTGCGCTATGCCATTTCCCAGCAGGTGTGAGAAGAAAGATCTTAGAGGAATATACGCGGGGATGACATCCCAGATTATGAGGAATTTTTACAAAGATGGTTATTACAGCCAATTGCCTTCTATGGTTAAGGACTAGGAAAAGAGCAGAAAGTAACCTAAACTAAGAAACCTCATGTGCACACGCAGAAAACACCTCTTTCAGATATTCTTGCTTCTCCAGCAAGCTGGCAGCACATGTTGGGGGAAGGACTACTAGAATTATTACTACTACAGGGCAGTGTGCTTTGGAGTCAGAACTGAACCTGAAGCTCAAATTCATCGCTCAAAGCTGTGCAACTGCTTATTAATGACTTAAGAAAGACTAGCCTAGGGGCCAGTTAGGTGGTGGAGGTTAGGGTGGCTGGACCCACATGGCCAACTGCTGTTAGGAGTCCCAGACCTAGTTAGGATGGATACCAAACTCCTACATGGCCAATAGTGGTTCAAGTCGAGGGCCTGGTGGCTTGGAAAAAAAAAAACTAACACCTGTGTATGCAGGCACATGTGTGCACAAGCCCAAAATTCCAAGAGGAGAATGGAGAAGGGGGTGCAGCATGGCAGTCCCCCTGGGGGATGATTTCTCACTTTCCCTCTCTGTCTCTGAATCTCTGGGGATGATTTCTCACTTTCCCTCTGTCTCTGAATCTCTGGGGATGACTTCTCACTTTCCCTGTCTCTGAATCAATCAATCAATCAATCAATCAATCTCTCTCTCTCTCTCTCTCTGACTAGTGCACACACCCTATGTCAAAACCTTACCCAAAAAAAAAAAAAAAAAAAAAAAAAAAGACACATGCATCCTCTCAAAATCAGGAGAATGGAGAAGGGATTAAGGCATGGCCATCCTTCCTATAAGGTGTTTTCTCACTTTTTCCTCTCTCTCTCTGTCTCCAGTGAGCACATATGCCCTACGGCAAAAAAAAAAAAAAAAAAAAAAGAAGAAAAGGTTAAAAAAAAAAATGGGGCTAATATGCAAAAATGTTGCAAAAATTCAAATGTAAACGAAGTCCACAGAGGGCACTGCCTGGTGCGGAGCAGGTGCTTAATTCCATGGTTAGTTACTTGTTAACGGAAGTCCTGGCAGCTGTAGCATACAAGCAGACATGAAAGCCTGTGCACTTCAGGGCAGTTCATGCACATGCCTTTGACAACCTACACCACAGAAGGCCTCCCTGCGTGTGGAATGTCCTTCACCTGACTACTCTCACCGTTTCCCGCATCCTTACCGGGATTTTCCCCATCACTGACACACGAGCCACATCGCTGCTCTTGGAAGGTGTTCAGTCTGCCCCATTTCTGCCAAGAAAATCTGTCACCAGCAATCTGAGTTCCTTGGATGCTCTTCTCAGCCCTTACAAAGTTCCCTCTCAGCACCACCAGATGAAATCTGTTTTCTTTTAGAAGTACACTTCCCTTTCATTCCAGTATTTCTCTCATTTTCCCAACAGTTTCTTTTTTTTTTTTTTTTGAGAGGTTTTCACTATAGGGCGTGTGCGCTCGCCAGACAGACAGAGAGAGACAGAGAGACAGAAAGCAAGAAATCACCCTGCAGGGGGGATGGTCACGCCGCAATCCCTTCTCCTCCATTCTCCTCTCGAGATCTTGGGCACACACGCACATGTGCCCAGCATGAGTTTTAAGCCACCGGGTCCAGGACACGAACCATGGTCGACTACGTGGGAGTCCAGCAACATAGCCATTACACTAACTGCTGGTTCCCCCAACAGTTTCTTTTCAGATACCTTTTCAAGAACTTTCTCCTCCACCCAACCATTAGAAACCAGCACCTCTGGGGACCAGCACATGGTTTAATGATTACGTCGCTGGCCTCCCATGTAGGCAAACTCGGCTTGAGTCCTGGACCTGGTGGCTTAAAAATCACACGTGTGCATGTGTGCGTGCGGAAAGTCCCAAGAGGAGAATGAAGGAGAAGGGATTGCAATGTGGCCATTTTCTCTGGGGGGGGGATTTCTCACTTTCTGTCTGTCTCTGCCTCTCCAGTAAGCACACACACTCTATAGCAAAAACAAAACAAAACAAACAGCACCTCTGAATGCTTAGTCCAGATTGCTTCTCTTCTGACTGTACACCCTCTCCAGGTCACCCCTTTGACTGCACAACCGAGTGACTACAGATATTAAGGCAACTGTACTTTTACCCTTAACCCAGTCTTCACTTAGAAGTTTCAACCTCTCCCTGCTATTTTTAATTTGAGTTTTCACAGGCACTTTAAGTACACTAAGTTCGAAACTGAGTTCATGATATCCTCTGGTAATACAGTCTTCTCTAACACAGAAACCTGGTTCTGTCAGCCCCATGCCCACAATACCCACTCACACAGATTGCAACCTGCCTTGAACTCACAGCCTCCCGGTGATGCCATCTCACTTTGGTTCTGTCTACTTCAATGATACCTGTTTATTTTCGGTCCTTCAAGAGGGTCTTGCCTTGAGCCTCCCACGCTTCTTCCCTCTACTTAGATCACTCCTCTCTCTCACTTGCCAAACTCGCCTTCTACTAATTCCCACATACCCTTCAATCTCAGGTTCCACCTCAGTTCCCGGCAAAGCCGTCCTTGACCTGCGCTGAGTGGAGGTCCGTACTGTGGGCCCGCAGTGGCCCTGCACTTGTCTCTCACAGCACTCCTGACCTTAGTCACTGACAGCAGCTGTGGCTTTCCTGCTGGGTCATATGTTTCATGGGGACAGGACTACATCTCTTTCTTCCCTCAATATTCCTGAACCTAGCAGAGGACAGGAACTGATTAAATGAATAAGGATTAAGATAAAGCCAGCATTACTGAAAATCTCCATTATCTTTCCTTCTGTAGAACTTTTCCTGGCTTTACGTTTTTCAGAGATTTAGGAGTTCCAGCACAGCAAGGTCTGCATACATTTTAACTTGCTATGGTTGGTCTAAGAAATTCTCTCATTCCTTTCATCCACTTGTTAGGATAAAAAAAGAAGACACAGGCTGAGCCAGCAGGTGGTGTGATGGGTAAGGCACTGGGCGACCATATGGTTGACCCGGTTTGAGTCCCAGACCCAGAGGCTTGAAAATCCGAACAGATAGATAGATAGATGTTTTAAAAAGAAAAAAGAAAAAAAAAAAAGACATAGGCTAGAAAGAATGAGAAGCATGAGATGAATAGGCCAGGTCCTCAAACCAGGGCTTACTCTGTAAAAGGCACCATTTCAAATCAAGAGAATCTGTGGTCAACAGTGTCACCTCACCTCTTCCACCACAGCCACTGCCTCAACCACCCACCTTTTTCAATTGATCTACCTCTTCAGTCTCTCATTACAACTGGTAAATACAGACTTCTAGCTAAATATACCATCCATTAAGCTCTAGTTTCACCTGAAACTCCACTGAGTGACAGTAAAAACATCTTTTTTAAAGACACTGGGAAGAAAAAGCCCTCAAGGAGAAACAGATACATGGAATAAACAGCAACTAAATCATTATTTTCATTCTCGGAAATCAAGAGATAATGACCGAAACTAAAAAATCAAGAAACACATGCACAATTACGTTATTTCTGAGACAGGGAGGTCAGTACCAAAAATGCGCAAGAAGAACTGAAAGGACGTTCTGCTAGAGAACAGGACTCAGGGAGAGGGGTCTGCGGTTTGGGGTCTCACTTTCTTTAAAACAAGCTTTGTAGATCACTTTACTGTTTGTCACCATACACAATTTGGAGGGGGAAAAAAGGCTAAAGGACAGTTTTTAAAAAGTGAGTAATAGCGAGGTCGGCAGGTGGTGTAGTGGTTAAGGCACTGGACACCCGCCCGATTACGATTCGAGTCCCAGACTTGGCGACTTGAAAACCATGCCAGACATGACTTTTTGTGCGTGGGTGCCCAAATTCCTAAAAGGAGAATGGAGGAGAAGGGACTGTAGTGTGGCCATCCCCCCGGGGGCTGATTTCTCTTTGTCTATCTCTCCGGTGAGCACACACTCCCTATAGCAAAAATCTGTTCCAAAAAAAAAAATCAAGAACAAAAGCGTACATATAACTTGATTAAAACTATGAGAAATTTATCTGTACTGGGTGGGGGGGTCTTCAAAAAGTTCGTGGAAAATGTCTGGCTCTATTTATCGAGTGATTAAGGGAGCTGGACAAAGTCCATGGTTTAAGTCCCCACCCAGGCAGCTTGAAAAACATGACAGGCACGTGTGCATGCAAGTCCGAAATCCTAACAGGGTGAAGAAATCCAGGAAAAGAATGGTGGAGTGACCACGTCCCATCAGGAGGTACCTTCTCATTCTACCTCTCTCTCTCTCTGACAAGTGCATGTGCCCTCTGGCAAATTTAAAAAAGAAAAGAAAATGTGTATTATGAAAAAACTGTACATGAAGCACGAAAGTGTCTTACACCACAATAAACTTGATTCTAATTCCATTTTCTATAAACTTTCTCATGTCCCCTCACACATGTGAAAGACTGAAAGGAAATCATTCAAAATAAAAGAGTTGTTATAATAATCATTTTTTAAATAATCGTTTTATTGTACTTAATAGTTTCTCATGAGAAAGAGGTTAACATAAGCCTGGTGTGGTGGGGTACACCTGTAGTCTCAGTTGGAAAAGTGAGGCAGGAAGATTGCCACATGGCAAAACTTTGCTTTTACAAATTTTTTTTTAAAAAATTAACATAGCAAAGAGGTTTTTTTCTTTTTTAATTTCACTTAAAGGGCCAGCAAGTAGACCCTTAAGCAGGTAGTGGTTAAGGTGCTAGATTCCTACATGGCCAACCATGATTCAAGTCCCAGACCCAGCAGTTTGAAAATCATGCCAGGCACACATGAATGCATGCCCCAAAACCCAGGAAAATGGAGGAGAAGGGATTGGAGCATAGTTATTCCCCCAAGGGAGTGATTTCTCACTTTCCCTCTCACTGTCTCTCTCTCCGGTGAGCACACAAGCCCTATAGTAAAAACCTAATAAATTTCACTCAAAATCTCTAAATCTGGAAGTCCATAAAGGGAGAGGGCATAGGTCACTCACTACTTTCACAGGGCGGTCTACTCACCCATCCCACAAAAAATGAGGCTGCCTCATTTTGGCTCATACTGACCTGCACTGCAGCTCTTCGCACCAATCTTTAGCTCGGTGTTGACGTTCATGCCAAGGAATGATCAGCAGGGAGTCACCATTATGACTTAAAATGAAAAAAAAAAAAAAGTTAAAATACACACTACCTCAATGACTAGCTACACACAAAATATGATGCAAAAGTTATCTCTATAACCTGAAGCTCCAAGATCCCTATATTGGGATTTTAAATGGCACATGGTACATATTCTATATAATACGTAAAAGAGAAATATCATATCTCTGCGTTCTCCTCAGTAATAAGTGATTCAAAAGAAAAGGAAAATTCCAAACAAAAATTTGACAAGGAATTAAAGGACAATACAGGTATGTGTTCACTCCCACGTTCTAAAACATCTATCAAGAGCCTGTATTGTGTATTCTTAATACCAGTATAAATGGTCCCACGCCCACAAGCTTGCAAACTAGAGCAAGGCTACTAAATCAAATTTCCTGCAAACACAGAAATGTTCTATTGGGTCACTGGGAAAGTCATGACGCATTTTTCCATAGAAAAACACAGAATAAGACGTCATGACTTTTCCAACAAACCAATATATCTGTACATATATTAAGCACTTGAAATAAGGCTACGGGTACTACAAAAGTGAACTTCCGTTCATCTGAATTGATTTAAATTTAAACAACTATATGTGGCTAGTGGCTACCATGGTGGATAGCACAGACTTATGGTATAAGTACATAGAAGGAATGGAAAATGATTTTGAAGAGTAAGAAGTATCTCTAAAGATGACAAAAAGAGGGACCAGCAAGTGGTATGATGGTTAAGGTGCTGGACTCCCACATAGTCAACTACAGTTCGAGTCCCAGACCTGGCAGCTTGAAAATCATGCTGGGTACATATGCATGTGTGCCTAAAATCCCAGGAGAATGGAGTAGAAGGGATTAAGGCATAGCCAACCCACTCACAGGGTGATTTTTCACTTTCCCTCTCACCGTCTTTATCTGTCTCTCTGGCAACCACACATGCCCTATGACAAAAACCTAAAAATTTTTTTTTAAATAAATTAAAGGACAAAGGTGGTGGATATGATGGTAGTGGAGGAATGAAGACAGAAATTTTGGTGGTGGTAACTACAGGGGTGGTGGCAACTGTAATGATTTTGGAAATTATAGTGGACAACAACAACCAAATTATGGACCCATGAAAAGGGGCAGTTTTGGTGGAAGAAGCTCGGGCAGTCCTTGTGGTGGTTATGGATCTGGTGGTGGAAGTGCTGGATATGGTAGCAGGAGGTTCTAAAAACAGCAGAAAGGGGCTACAGTTCTTAGCAGGATAGAGAAAGTGAGGAGTTGTCAGGAAAGCTGCAGGTTACTCTGAGAGAGTCGACCCAAATGCATTAGAGGAACTGTAAAAATCTGCCACAGGAGGAACAATTATCCACAGTCAGAAAGTTACTGAAGCTTAAAGAGGAAACCCTTCTTGTTCAGGACTGTCAGAGCCACAGTTTGCAAAAAATGCAGCTGTTAATTAATGCAATGTAGTATCAATTAGATGTACATTCATGAGGTCTTTTATCTGTTGTAGCTTTGTCTTTTTCTTTTTCTTTTCATTACATCAAGTATATTGCCCTGTAAATTGTGGTAGTGGTACCAGCAATAAAAAAATTAAGTAATTTTTGGGACCAACAGTTAGCGTAATGGCTATGTTGCTGGACTCCCTTATAGTCAACCACGGTTCGTGTCCCGAATCCGGTGGCTTAAAAATCACACCGGGCTTGTGTGTGTGCGTGCCCAAGATCCCAAGAGGAGAATGGAGGAGAAGGGACTGCAGCGTGGCCATCCCCCCGGGGGGTGATTTCTCACTTTCTGTCTCTCTGTCTCTCTCTGTCTGTCTGGCAAGTACACGTGCCCTATAGTAAAAACCTCTTCAAAAAAAAAAAAAAAAAAGGAATTTTTAACTTTTCAAAATAATTAAAGTGAGGGAAGGATAGTATGGTATGGCTGCAGATCAGTGTGCTACAGATCAGGAGACTGGGAAACAGAAGCAAGTCTGTCTGAATCAGCTATGCTGTCTCTGGCATATGACCTTCTAAAGAAGAGGGCTCTAGGCATTATCTCTAGGGTCCCTCATATCCACGGATCTGTGCTAACATCGGAATCATTCTGAATTAAGAGTAAGACCAAAATTGAAAAAACAAACTTGATTGCCTTGCTTTTATAGTTTAATGAAACATTTTCTCTCATATTTCTGAGTATCAATAGTAACATTTTTCTAAAATGTCTCATAGTTCCAGGAAAAGGATTACACTACCTTATGTTATTAGGTTAGGAAACATGCTCTGCACAAGAAACACTTCGTAGACATTGGGAAATTATGTTGGTGAAGAGGTTGGTCTTCATATAAAAAGTTAATAGGAAACCACTGGAGGGTTTTAAAGCGAGAGGGAAGCTAATGAGGTCTGGGAAGGGGCAGAACTGATTCATCAATCAGCGGCATTGTCCTTGCAGTTATCATTATGGAGGCAAATTACCCAAAGTCAAGGTTCCCTATTAGAGATACAAAATAAGAACTTCATCTTATTGTAATTTTTGAGAGATATTTTTGAGAGCACTCTCCAGCACTCAACAGAGAGACTGAGATAGACACAGAGACAGAAAGTGAGAAATCATCCCCCAGAAGGAATGGCCACACCACAATCCCTTCTCCTCCATTATCCTCTTGGGATTTTGAGCATGCATGCACATGTGCCCAGCGTGAGTGGTAAGCCACCAGGTCCAGGACTTAAACTGCAGTAGACTACATGGAGTCCAGCGACACCAACTATTACGCTATCTGCTGGTCCCAGTATTACATTATATATTAAAATCATGGTTTTTTGGCTATCACATAATATCCTAGCAAACTACGTACCAGAGATACATTTTTGAAGGTATTTGAGTTCATGTTTTTAAATTGCTGAATCATACGGTTGATAATTTAGAATGAATGCCACAATCACACTGTCATTTGTCACCAAATAAAAAAAACGATTTCATTTTCTACTATGTCAATAACAAATATTTTATCACAGACCACTGAAATGGAAAGTAAAAAGATAACATTTGGACACAGTGATGATGATAATGCTTACTCTTCGAACATAAGAATACATTATAGCAATGAATTGAAGAACACGAAAAATAAAAAGAAACCTAGCAAGCTATTATGGCTTTTCTAATTAAAGTAGACACGGTTCCTTAAGCTACACAGAATGTTTCCTCAAAGAATCTTAGAAAAATGTATCACAGGTTGAGATGTGTATTTTCTATACAAAATACATATTAGATACAAGAATTATTACTAAAATGATTAGTAATGGTGTGGGATGCTCTGAAGAATAATACTTACTTGGCATTTAGAGACTAGAAAGCTGTAAAACTTTGTTATCTTCACTGAACAGAAATGACTAAGAAAACATACTGGCTTTTAACCTAAACGCATTCTCCTCAGAGGCTCACTCCGAATGGTCCCGAAGGGTCCTGGGATAATAAAGGATTTCTGCTGCATCTTCAAGGCACAGCACAACTGGCCCGTTTCTCCATGTGCTGATCAGCACCGACACAGTAGTAATAACAGCAGTGTTATAATCCTTCTACTATACCACAGTATAAGGGTCAGCAATGACAATTATCTCTAATGAGTATGATGCCTTACCAGGCCCAGTAGTATACAATGCCTTTAACATACAGTGCCTCAACACAGTCATACCAATCTAATGTAGTAGATGACACTGTCTTCCTCATATTACGATGACAAAACTGAGGTACAAGTCAACTTGTACAAGTCCACCCCCACAAAGCTAATATAAAGCACAGCCAGGATCAGAACAGGATCAGACAAAATCCACAGTTCAGCTTTTAGCTAGCATGCTATACACCACTACAAAGAACGGGGAGGCTACTATCTGGCCCCAAGTACATTCCCCCAGGCTCTTATTTCATACGTAAAAGCTGCCAGTCAGATTTGTGCATCTCAGATAGAAGGCAATTGGAGCTTTCCCAAGATTAAATACAGACACTCAAGACCATGTACATGCACATTTAAAGGATCCATGTCAACTAAGATATACCACCAGTAGATTACTAGTCTTACGAAACTCATATCTACCAAGTATGGCTTAATCATAGGTCTGATCACTAAGAGTTATGTAAAAAAACAAAAATGTTTTCTTTTTTAAGTTGTTTTTGTTTGTTTGGTTGGTTTTTTTTTTGTTTTTGTTTTTGTTTTTGTTTTGCTAAAATATATATATATATATACATATGCTTTCCGGAGAGAGTCAGAGAGAGGTAAACTGAAAAATCACCCCTCAGGGGGATGGCCACACTGCAATCCCTTCTCCTCCATTCTCTCCTCGCGACCTTGGGCACCCATGCACACACACACTATATGTTTTTCAAGCAACCAGGTCCAGGACTAGAACCACATAGTACGCCATGTGGGATCCAGCCACCTTAACCTCCTCCAGGCCACCTGCTGGCCCTATGCTCTTTTATTTTCTTATAAGACATTTCAACAAAATTAATTATTTTATTAAATTTTAGGAATGTAAAGTGCTTGCTATAGCAGCATCATATTCTTTATTTTGCTCAGATGACAGCATTTAGGAAACAGGCAGGACCTCATTCCCAGGCAGAGCAGGAACTCCTCAAAGACAAAATCTTTATTTTGTCTCCAGCTGTATTCTCAGCATCTAACAATGCCTGGCAGTTAGCAGAATCTAAATAGCTTGAGCTGGCTAATAACGCTACAAAGAATTATCGAAGTGATTTCACAAGTATCACAAAAATTTAAGACTGAAATACAGCATTGGAAGGGGATAATTTGTTCATTAAAAAAGACACATCATGGAGGTATGTTTATGTAGGATATGTAGACCTCAGTGAAAATGAGACTGCTTACCTAATAAGTTATAAAACTGAAGGAACAGTAAGCTAGTGATGGTGTACACCTGTCACCTAGAAAGTTCATTACTTCCCAAAATCCCACCATTACTTTTTGTAAGTTGAAAGAGAGAGAGACAGAGAGACGGAGAAACAGGGTCTTGTGGCTCTGAGATTCCCTGC